TGTCTACTTTTTAAATAAAGGGCTTTGCCTAAATACCAAATTAATCTATGCAATTCCAGAAAAGATGATACATTTGAAAGTAAAGTCTGGAAGACCACAGGAAGCTTACAAAAGTAATATCCAAGCACAGGCATTACTTATGAATACCTGAGATAAGAACATACTCATCCCCTTACGTCTAAACATGAGTGCACATCTGGAATCCCCCTGAACCACCTGTTCCCTTCCCCCTTAATATTTTCCTCAACACACTAACCTTTTCCTCTTTGAAAGCACCAGCATTTAAGAGTCATAAAAACTATTTAAGTTTATTGCTCTGTTTTAGTCTTGCCACAGTCTCATTTTGTATTATTTTCCACTGCATTTTTCATATATTAGAAGCTAAATATGTTCTTGTGGGCTGGCTGGGAACCAGACTCCTACTCACAGTTATTTCTATTGCAAAAATGCACTCTGAGTTCCAAACATTCTACTAATCACAATGTAGGATATTTGTTCTTTTATCTTTGACTAAAAAATACACCTCTAAAAGTATAAATTTTTACTTTTAATATGGACAGTCTACCATATTACACCATATATACAGAGGGTGCCAAAAAATGTACACATTTTAAGAAAGGAAAACTGTATTAAAATTGCAATACTCAATATATACTGATAATAAAAGATGAATACAAGTCAGGTTTGACTTCTGCAATTACAAGAGGTGCTCAGAATAGTTACCATCAGCATCCAGACACTTCTGATTACGGTGAACTACTGCTTGAGCAACGTTGACCAAAGTGTCCACTTGTATACATTTTTTTGGCACCCCCGGTATTTGCTAAAATATCACTTATATGTTTTGGCAGAAAATAAGACTAAAGCAATAGAGCTGGACAAATTACTGCAATTAAACTCATTATTAATACTTACTTAAAAGGAAAAAAGAAAGGCTTTATTGCCAAGAACTAAATTGAATGCTTCTAGCTGCAGTTTTCAAAGGAGGGTAAGTATATAAGCACATTTGCCAAAACTGTGAGGCTATGATTCCAACACAAGAAACACAAAATTAAAAAGTCATACAAATATTTGATATTTCCTGAGCTGATGCTGAAAATAACTCACAGGAAAGGGCTGCTGTTAAGATATATGAGTCCCAACCCCCACACTCTAACTGTGCATAATCTTACCGGTGCTATGACAACATGGAAATGCTCATTAAGGCTATTAATTTACACTTTAATCATTATTAAAATTCAACAATACCACCAGATGGTAAATGCAACCCAAGAGAGAGATCTTCTGGACCAGGTCTGATGATTTAGAACACAAACGCTATAATGGGACATAAGACAACTGGTAATGCCATTTCATTTGACAGCACCCAGTTTTGTGTTTAAAGTGGCAAACAAACACACAAAAAACTTAGTATTTTCCTTCTTCAGCGATGAGGGCATACTGCTTAATTAAAAAGAAATGAGTTTGAAGTTTATTTTATTTTGAATTCTGGTGCTTGAGGAAAACCAAAAGATAAATTTGAACCTGTGACGGGACAGAGACTTCTGGGCCAAGTTTCAAGGGACAGTGATCCTCATTTGCTGATTCCACTTCCTGTCTTCTCAATCCTCCTCAGCCTGCAATCTGGCTTCTTTACCCAGAATACCAAAGAAACTGCTCTTATCAAGGTTAGAAAATGACCTCTAAATGCCAAATCCAATGGTGAGTCAAGCGTCACCACCTCTATGAAGTCATCTTTATTACCCTGCTCAGAATACAATGCAAACAAAGCTTGGATTAATAAAACCATGTTGTCTTATCATTATCTGCCGCCTCACTGAACAGAAAGCGCCTCTGGAGTAGGCCCCCCCCTTTCCCCTTTGAATGCACACTGCTTGACAGATGGTCAGTATATTTTGGAGTAAATAAACTGAGGGCTTGCTATGTTACCTAGGAAAACCCAATTATCATACATTTTCTTGGAAGTGCTTACAGTAAGAAGAAACTAAAACAGAGGAAAAACCTGGAATGTTTCCAGAGAAAATTTGTCTTGGTTATAGAACCAAGAAACCTGCTACAATTTCAAGAGAAAAATTCCAACATTTGGACACCACTATTTTGCTGATTTGCCCATAACTCCTTAATAAAGGCCTATATTTTCAGAATTTCCTTATGGAAATCAAACTTCTTAAGTAATAGTAGTAACTGAGCACTTATCACCTGCATACAGCGAGAAAGAAAGGCCCATTGCCCGTTAGTTGGTTTAGATTTATTAATATTATACCTGGAATCTTTGGGGGAAGAGAGCTCCTAACTATACCCAAAATGCACCAGAATAATCCAGAGTGGCTCACAATTTTAGTTCCAACAAAAGTGCTTTTGGGAACCCAGATTAGGGACCCAATGATGACCTAACTGGGACACATAGAAGTTACAGTTTCTATGGCCATGGAACTCCCTCTCACCCTCCTTCGCCCTCAGATTTGGGCTGGTCTTCCCTCCTCACTCGGGGGTTTCCCAATGCCACTCCTTACCCCATTCAGCCCCCTTCCCCCAGTGTCTTGTAGTCACTCTTCCTAGGAATCAGAACCTCAATGAGCAGTATCATGCAGTTAGCAAAGGAGAATGGGGAGGTAAGAGGAAAGGGACGGGAATAATGAGAGAGGGAGGGAAGGAAAACCCACTGCCTATTAAATCCCAACCACCCAGGCCTTCCTTTCCCCTGACCACTCCCTAAGCTTTAGGCTTTCTCACAGCAAGCCCAGCCCCCAATTTCCTCATACTTCTTTAGTCATCTCACACTTTCCACAAACCCTGCTGCCTCAGACCCAGTAGATTTGCATCTCTGATATCCTGGTGCTCAACTCCACCCTGGCCAACTCTCCAGCCTCAGCCCCAAGAAGTGCTGAGAAGAATTCACCTGGGAAGGAGAGGCCAGGGCAGTAATGGTTAATATAACCTGGGGCTACACTGGGACGCTTAACCACCATTACCAAAACACCATTACCAAAACCGTTTCTCCGGGAAATATACCCTGAGTTTTAAATTATCATGAACTGTTGGAAAAACACAACCCTATTTGGAATTGGGGACTGCCGACAATTGCTTTCTGATAAATTATAAACATGTTGTTGTAAAATTGTAAATGTTAAGCTAGTTCATGAAACATCTACACTCTAGGAAAGCTGAATTCAAAAGCAGAGCTCACCCACTCTTCACCAGGCTGCCTGACCTGATGGGCTACAACCTATCCAAAGCGGCCTTGGTTCCCTGTGGTTTTGAAAAAGAACATCCCTTACGAATGCCATCCAGCTTCACTGGCTGCATACATTAACCCCTTCCAACCTGGTTCCTCCCAACCGAGCAGCGCGGGTGCCCCTAATTGTGTAAGACGCATATCAGGTAAAGCACAAGTTCCAGAAATGTACAGCTTGTGTTAGCTAAAATGACAAACCTTTAGGATGTCATTGGGTCAACAGGAAACTTAAACCAAGGGCCAAACCTTCAATTTCAAGGAAAAAAATCTTACCTTAGCTAAGAATAACAGTATATCATGAAGAAGCCAATTTCTCTCTCTCTCTCTCTCTCTCTCTCTCTCTCTCTCTCTCTCTCTCTCTCTCCCTCTCTCTCTCTCTCACACACACACAACACATATTAAAAGCATATTAAAAGAACAGTACCAACAAAACCGTACTATGGAGAGAAGAGCAGTCATGAAAATAGACATTTTTTTTTTTTAAGTTGAATACTTAACTCCAATTCCCCATCGAAATATTTATGCCAAGGAAGAGGCTTTTGCCTGGGTACTAACGTTAAGAGAGTAGACAGGAGTAAAGAGAAGAGTCAACTATGAGAAAAGTTAGGCAGGAGGGAGGGCAAAGAGGATGATGAGTAAGGAAAAATGCTAGGAGAATGTCTGAAAGTTAAAAGAACAATTTATTTTACTTCGTGCACGGAGATTTGATTAGACAATTTTATTTAGTCAATTCACCCAATAATCCTTTGTGTAGCCCCTACTATGTGCCATGTGTATTAATATTTCTACAAAAGTCCCATTTTAAGACCTGAGTATTCAGAGGTTTGAAGTTAGTGACCTAAGAAGCATACAAAGACTTCGAAAATGGCCTATGAGCTTTGTGTGAAACACAAAACCAACACGTTAAAATACAGTGCAATCGCTCCCTTTGTGACTGGAGAGAGAAGGAAGCAGCTGCAGCGGTTGCTTCCTTTGCCTCTTTTTCAGTATTCTCTCATATGCCCAGCCAACATCTACTGATCCCTCCTGAGCTCCTTGCTTGGCCTCATGCAGGACCTGGCCATACCTCTTCATGGAGCTTAAAACCGGACACGGAACATCAGACATACCAAGAAATAACCATACTGTTAAGACAGGCTGAGGGAAAGGCTGTAAGGATACCACAGCATGACTGTGATGTCAGAATAGGAGGTAAACATTTTCCACTAGGTAACTGTACAGCTTCATGAAGCCAATGACTGCTGAGCTGGACCATCAGCAATAGGTGAGGTTTCGATGAGAGATGGAGTGGGTACACTAAAGGTAGAAAGTGCCAATAGAGTGAGCGAGGAGAGTAGTTCATGGGTTTCCTGCATTTTTCCTCTATCCATCTGAAGTTAGTCATTAGCCTTCAGCAAATACAATAACAAATCCTCAAAGAGTAGTTAACTTTTGCAAATTTAGAAGTTCCACCTGACAAGGGCACCGTAGGTAAATGCATGCATTTCAGTAACTTCACTGGTTTCTTACACCTAGTGAATAAGCTTCACTAAATTGGCCAGTTTCCTCCCCTCAGTGCTTCAAACTTGCCTTGCAAATACTCATTCCGATCCCATGATAAAAGGAGGTGCACTGTGGAATAACTTAATAGATGCTTAACTAACCCACTCTCTCACCAAGGGCTTTTTCTCTGTGTGAGAGATTTTACCTATCTCCCAGAGTTGTTGAAGATTAATTTCAGGGATGCATGGAAAAGGGCAGTGTCTGTCTGGCCCCTAAGTGTTACCTGGAATGCTGATGTGTAGGCCCAAGTTGCAGCTGACCACCTGGAGCTTCGTATGGCTCTTCTACCTCGTACACATTTGCATCAGGGTCCTCCATGCCGCTGGAACTCTGCCATTCCAACTCTGGAATTTTCCTTTCAGCCGCAATAAATGGCAAGTTCTCATACTCCGGTATTTCCTCATAATGCTGTATATTTTCATACTCAGGCGTACAGTTGCTTGTCACAGATTTGCAAGGCACCTGAGACACTGCCTCCCTGGAGAGCATTTGGTCATCCAGAGACTCGGCTCTTGGTCCATGCGTTGCACTGGTCTGGCCCCGAGGTTTCTTCCTCTTCTTCTGGGATTCCAGGCTGTAGTTATCTGCAGAATATGCTTTGATGGGTTTATTTCTCTTCTCTTCTCCTACCAACAAGCCATGCCAATCACTTTCAATCCCCGGTCGACCCCCACCGGAGAGGCTGCCTGCGGTTGCGTCTCCAAGTTGGCTACTCTTGGACCAGAATTTCTGGAAGTCACTCTTCATGAAACAGATGGACAGCTTCATGTTGAGCAACTTCTTCAAAGAGTTTTTCTTTTGAGTGTCTTTGCAAGGCTTGGTGCACCTTTCGCCATCCACAGCAGATAGTGATTTTGCTCTAGGCTTGGTCAGGGCAGTAGGAGGCTCACTATTTGAGAATACGGTGACAGACTTTAAGGATTCGGGGTTCCCTGAAAAGGGTAAAATAGGATGAGGTAATTTCCACACTGGCTTTTCTGAAGTCCGTTTAGGCATATCAAAAGAGGATGACATACCATGGTTTCGGGCACACAATGGTCCAAGGTGGTTGCTTTCTGGATCCTTTTCTGAAATTTTTTCTTCATTTGAGGGATAAGAGCTTTTCTCCACAAGCTCTTCTGAGGCAGCCTTTTTAAGCACTCCCGCAGCAGGCAAGCTGTGTCTTTGAGGTTTTTTGGGGGCAATTTTTGAGGAACTTTCCTCTTTTATTGTAGATTCCTTTTGTGTCTGAGGGACAGACACTCCCAGGTTACAGGCAGCAGGTAAATGTTTGTTGCAAGTAAATTTCACCTGCTTAGGCAGGCTCATAGATAGAGTAGTGCATCTTATAAAACTGGCCCCATTGTCCACAGCAAGTGACGTACTAGAACCACCTACTGTCTTGCTGTCAGAACTCAAATTAGAGTCTATTTCTAAAGGAGGTGTCCCCTTTTCAGAGGAAGATGTTTCATGGCACATGGTTTTCTCTGAACCAACGAAGTTTTGTCTGTCGCTGTTGGAATCCACATTCAGTTCACTTTTACTTCCTGGCTTCACTTTGCCCACCTGTTCCTGGTTACACAAATCATTCTGATAAAGAACACTGATTTTATTGTTTTTCAAACTATCTTCAAGAAGACAAGAATTACTGTGTAAATTATCTGGTTCTTCAGTGCTTTCACTGGGAGCATCAACGTGCTTTTGGCGTAACAGGCGAGCAGTGCGTGTCTTCCTGGGCCTGGGAGTTGGAAATTTGGGGCTATATGGTACTAAGTGAATTTCTAAGGGACCAAGGTCTTTGACATCTGATTTCTTACTAACTCCATCTGAAGATAAAAACATATTTCTTTTGCCATTTGCCAGAGCTTCTTGTTCAGATGAATGAAAGCAAGTATTTTTTTCACAGCCATCCTGACAAGTTTCAGAATTCTGAAATTCACCGCTAGGATGTTGTCGATGGCAGTGGTGATCAGGAGCTTTCTCAAAGCTGGACCGGGAAGGTGACACGTCTGCAAAGTCAATTCTGAACTGTCTGCTGGGATTACAGCCATCGTTCATTTCTGGGTTGTCTGTGGATCTGTGTTTTTGTGGGGAAATAAAAGGTGACGCTCGCTGTGTTAAAACGTCCTTGAGCTTATCTTCTAGGATGCTTGCCTTTAAACCGACTCTACTCTGGCTCTTAACAGTTTCACCGTTAGAATCACATTTACTCTTTGTTTTTATAGTGGAAAAAGAGTCATCAATTTTACTATTTTCTAAATTTTGAGGCATTTCTAAGGGCTCTAAGACAAGCTGCTTTACACATAAATTCTCTCTATTCCCAAGTTTATGGATACACTCAGAACTGCAGGAACACATGGATAAAATGTAATCACTGTTCTGATGCCCCACATTTTTGCAAGTCGAGTTGTCAGTGCTTTCAGGTAATTCCTGTTTATGCTCTTCCAGGTTAACAGTGATTTTCTTTGACGGTGACTGCACCATGTCACGAACAGGTAAAGCCTTCAGAGCTTTTGGCTTTGGGGCTATTGCTGGTTTGGTTTTCTTTGTTGACTGTGGAACACTAGGCATCACAATATCGGGTTTGGGTGCAACAGGAGGTGGGGCTGGCTTATGATTTGTCACCACAAACCTTGGCTTGGGGGCCACTGGTGGCTTCTTAATCTCTAGAAAGAAAAAAATAATTTGATGACAAACCAAAGTACAAGATGATAAATGATTAAATTAGATAACTTTTACTTTGACAATATGGTGAACTTTCATTTTACTAGATAATGTTACATTACACAGAGTCAATATTCATCTTAAAAATTCCTTAAATTGACCTTCAATTCCAGTATACATAGCTTTGGGTAAATGTATTTTTGTACATTTCTTAATAAATCCAATACAGTTTTTCTTCTAACTTTGGAACAGATTACCATATCTTCAGACAACACTAAATGAAGTAAATGGCTTCTGCTTAGAGCCGGAATAGCAGGAGAAAGTATGTCAGCTCATTTGCTAAGTGCTAAGAATTGAATTTGCCTAAGTTATATGTAAAAGCCAACTCTTTAAGCTTCTCATATGAATAAGCAGTATTCTTCTACCTCAATGATATACAGTAGAGGTGTATAAATGCCTTTTGTCAATAATCTATGCCACTAAAACTCAAAAGGAAAAAAAAATCAGAAATTTTCTAAATTTAAAACTAAAAAGTAATTCTTCTGTATTACTTGAGGCTCATAATAAAGTTGATATGTCTCTGTGCAGGAGATGTCAATTGGGAATTTTCATTGTAATCCTTCACGGAACTTTATTTTTTAAACAGTCACATGTCTAGGCTCTACCCCAGGTCTAACCATTCAGTTTCTGGGGATACAGCCTGGGCGTCTGTATTTCTTTTAGGTTTCATGGGTAATTATGCTCTGTATCCTTTATTAATAACCACCTTTCTAGGGCATTTAAGAGACGACCACAACTTGTAGTGTAGCAATTCTTCCTCTACATAAAAAGTACTTAAGGAGCTGGATTTGTACAGGCCTGCTCCTAGCCTACAGAAGCCTAATGAAAGCTTTACACAAAAGACCTATAAAATGAAAAGATATACAGAGCCTAAAGTTCAGGGTTTGTTTTTTTAGCTCTGTTTAAGTTTTTCCACCTATACTGTCACTTATCACACAGTCATACTTCCCTAAGGAGACTTGAGATAAAATATTTTATCTTATACTTCTTACTCATATACTTATGTTTGTTCCTCCAACAGAATCTAATGCTTAATAAAAACTTAAATTTACTGAAAAAATAAAAGCTTTCAAAATATGTTCTGGACATTAATTATTTGAGTACACAGAGGCTTTGATACTTCATTTGGTGATTAATTTCTTTTCAACAAAGGAAATTAGTCACAACATTTGGGAAGATAGTACATGGAACTGAGTTAAAAAAAAAAAAAGTCGGGTGCTCTACTTTCTTTTACAAACCAAGGAAGAATTTCCCAAACCCATATGTGTTCAATCAAGATTACATGATAACAGATGCCTTCTCACTCAATATAATGTTGTGATAAATAAAGAAGACGAGGAAATATCTTCAAAATAACTTAATACAAGTTCCCAAAGCTTTACAATTTTAGTTATCGATCCAATAAGCATGTATTAGGCTTTTTGGGTTTTTTTGGCAGAAAAAAACTGTAAAACCCTTTAAAGCCTAATGATAAAGCTGGTGTAATGATCTATTAAAGTCAACTCCTGATCTATTAAGTCTTAAAAGAAAGTATGAATGCCCTAGGCCTCTTCCTAACCTCCCATCTTACTAAATATAACGAAAACTGACAGGCTGTCATGTTGGTTTCATTTCTGTAACCATTCTTTGAGCATCATACCTCTGGGATTTTTGAAGGAATAAAAAAAATCCATTTTGCAAGATGGAAGTTCTGGAGATTGACTACACAGCAGTGTGAATGTACTTAACACTACTTAACTGTACACTTAAAAATGGAAAGATAAGGGCCGGCCGAATGGCGCGATGGTTGGGAACTGGCTTGGGACGCTAGAGGGCCCCGGTTCGCATCCCACAGTTGAGGGCCGGTGACACTGCCCTCCGCAGCTGGGATGCTGAACAACAGCTCGATCTGGAGCTGGGCTGCCCTGAGTCGACGGTGTAGGCCCCTGTGGCAGTGGGTTGCCATGGGCTGCCGTGTGTGGCCGGCAGCCAGCATGAGCAGCCGGCAGCCGCTGTGAGCGGCCGTCCAGAGGCCGGCGGCTGATCTGCCTCGCCCGGGAAGAGCGCAGTGATGGTGCCAGCTTGGACCAGTGGGGCGGCGTCCTCCACAGCTAGACTGAGGAACGGAACGACAGCAACTTGTCTGTTCCCCTCCCCCCAATTCCCCAGCGCTGTTCCCATCCCCCCAATTCCCCAATAAAAAATATTAAAAAAAGATAATCAATTTATGTTATATGTGTTTCACCACAACTTAAAAAAAAATAAAAGAGAACCCATTTCATCAAATTAATCTTTACTTTTTGAATCTTGCAGCTTTGTCAGAAGCTTCTGGGTCATTTAACGAGTCAATTTTTGCTTTTTAGTTAAATTTTTTTAAATCTCTGCTCCTGATTTTAGTCTTTTCCTTAGTGTTTTGTACATGAGTCTGCTTCCAACGGACATAAGCCCCAGTTCTCTTTAGTGTCCTAGAAATTCAATTAACTCTATATGAGCTGTGGCTGATTCCCAACAAATGTAGACCAGCGTTATGTACCTAATGCCCTCACTGAATTAAATAAATAAACGGTGAACTTTGGCTCACCATTGCTAGTTAACCATGTAATGGAGGAAGCCAAAACATAATTTGAAGAGCTGGCTAACCTAAATGTGTGCAGATGTGGCTGCCTCAGTTTCCCTCCTTGTAAATGAGGGAGTTGAACAGAACGCTAAAGCCTATATGATTCTAAGATACTTGCTTCAGGAGAACCCTTATATTCTCCAGCCCCTTTGCCCTGCATGATTCTTCTTCAGTCTAAGTTTGTCTCCACCACCAGAAGGCAAGCTCCAAGAGGGCAAGCACTTTGTCTCTGTGATGTCACCAATGGTGAATATAGGGCCCTGGGAATATTCAGAGCTGCCAACATACACATACTATTTAATATGTCTCAGCAACAGGAAATCTCTTAAAAAAATATATCCATTTTAATGTAGAATAATATTTTGAAAAGTTTGCAGGAATCAACTTCAATAGGATTATTGAATAAGTTCTTAATTATTAGAAGAAACAAGTGTTCAACTAAGTCACTGATACAGCAATATCTGAAATCTTTCATTATTATTTTCAGTGGTTTTTTCGTGGCTCTATTTTGAAAGAAACACAACTCAAAATATAACAAGCCTTTATATTATGGTCTGCTCCAATGTCAAACTCTTGAAATAAGTGCCCGACGTTTGGAAATGAATCCAGCACCTTTGGAGCTTAATACTGTATCAACAGTCAGACCCAAAGCTTTTTAGAGCAAAGCAGCAAATCTTTTATTTACACAGCTGTTTGGCTCCGGGGAAAAATAAGGTAAGAAAGTAAAGCACTAGTACCATTTTACTATTACAAACATACTGTCATCTGTTACACACAGATGGCTGCAGTTCATGTGCACACTTTCTTAGCTGTTGGACCAGCCATAAAGCAAAGCACGGGCATTAATGAGACAGTGAGCTGTACAAGTTCGAAAAGATAGACAATATACACCTATTATTATCTCTCCGTTGAAATATATTGATTAGAATAAATTCTAAAATCTCTAGTATGGGCCGACTTTCACAAATGCAAAAGAACAAAGCAAGCTCTTCTTCAGATACATATAACTTAGTGTTCTACAACATTTCTCTTATATCCTTAAATTAAGCCAACCATCACAAATATCACTGATTAGATTCTTTATAAACAAACATCCCCTCCTGAAATTGCAAATAACTTTCCTAAACGAATTTTAACGAATTTGATTTGTTCCAAAAAAGCATAAACAGTTTGTAAGAATGATGAACACATAATTTTATAAGAATAGGATGGAAATAAAACCCAGTTCTCTTCCATATTCCATAGACATGAGAAAATTAAAATAAATCTTAAATGGGTGAACAAAAAACTAGTTAATGCTCCTTAGCAAGCCACGTTAAAAACCAACTAACTCAGCTAAACACAGGAAGTGTCCCTCTTTTAAAACACCACAAAAATGTCTGTGGACTTCTTTAATTGTAAAGTTCATAAAATATAAAAATAGCTTGCATTACTTCAGGACAATTCAAATGAAAGAATCACAAATTTCCAGATTGAGCCCTAGATCAGGTTTACATATTTAAATGTCAAATTAAATGCTTCTGTATCTGTTCATTATAAACTGTTAGAACTGGGAGTGAAAACTGATACATATAAGGTATTTTTTCAATGTGTTTGACACTCCAAGAGGGGAGAGCTAAAATTGGTTGGAAGGCTTTAAAAATTTCCAACCACTTCAAATTTAAAGTAATTACCCTAAGTTTAGTAACAAAGAAAACTTGAACAAAGGTGAGACACAGAAATTTAAGATGAAGATAATTCACCTCAAGTAAGTGGAAAGCTTTCCTTTGGTAAGGAAAGAGTTTATCAATAACATAACTTCAACAATTGTATGAGGACACATCTCCAATACATACATATAACACCCAAAAGGAACGATCCACAAATTCTTCAGGAATAAGTACAGGAATATTTCACCCTTTGCTTTCTTATTCCTATTGGCTAACTTCCTTCCTAGTTAGTTGTAATTTGATTACACCTAGCAATGCAACACTCCAATATATCTAGGCTTTAGAAATAATACAAATCGGAACATTTAGAGTGCTGCTTGACAGTTTCAAGTTGCAGGAATTTAAAACAAATGCCAAGAAAAGCAAAGAAAATTTAATCTGATACTTAAGTGCTGATTCTAGAAGTAACTTTGAGGGTTAACTTTACACTATTTTACTATAAAATTTCTAACGCAAGTTTATTTCTTTCAATGTGGACAAAGAAAAAACCCTTAATACTTAATACATTATAAAGCTGTGGTTTAAAAATTAACCTATGCTCTTATTTAGTGAATTGAACAAAACTTTAGTAATTATTTTGGAAAATAGAAATTGTTCCTTATAGAATGGTTGGAAATGTAATGTCCAGAATTGCTCAAAATACCACACAAAGGTAAACAGACTGTCATTTGGATGAAGGGAAAGGACTACGGGAGGCAGACAGAAAATAAGGCTTTGTTTACACTAACCAGGTAGAAATAGAAAAAAAAATCCATAAAAATTGGGTGAAGATGAGCAAAAAAACTGCCATCGGTAATTCTACTCCTCTCCTCGGGTAACGGGGAAAACCACCAGGATAGCAGTAACAATGTTTAAACCTCTTTATCTAGTAATAAGAGTCAGGGTTTCCAGTCGATACTAGGTTTAAAGCGACTCAGCACGGTCGAGTTCAACGCTCCGGGAACACTGCCCTTTCCTAGAATAACCGATTTCTTAACATGGGAATCTAAACTATTTTCACACGCAAAGGCAACGTCGCTCACATTTTGGGAGAGACGAGCAAATGCCCTCTACATTTCGCGTTTCACCTGGTGCAGAGCTCCCAACACGGGTATCCTTTTAAAGGCAGGTCCCAAAAGATACACGATTTCCAAACAGCCTTTCTTGGCAGGAAGGGAAGAGAAAATGCGGCAGCAAACGCCGTCTGCTCTGCACTTGCCACAGTCCTCGGGAAAGGTGGCGGGAACACCGCTAACCCACCCCAGAGGAAAAAGTTGCTCCACAGCCCGAGTAGCAGCGCTCGCTACAAACTTTCCAGCGGCAGCTCGAGCGCCGTCACTTACCGGCGGCAGAAGTCATGATTCCCCCAGCAGCTTGCTTCCCCGCTCGCCCCCCTCAATCCATGCTTCCCTTACAGTCCATTGTTTCAAGAGTTTGGCCAGGAAAGAAAAGTCCCCGCAGCGTCCACATTTCGTCCCGTGGCCCCGCTGCGCAACCGAAGCGCAGCACAAAGGATGCAGCGGGCTCAGGGGACCCGGCGGCGTTCCCGGGCGCGAGCCGCAGGCGGCGGGCACGAGCAGTGCTCGCCGCGGCTCCGCCGGCGCGTGCCCCTCTGGAGCTCCAAAAGAATCAGTGCTCCAAGCGCCCCCTGCCAGTCGCAGCCGTAAAAGGCGGACAAAAGCCCTAACCTCCTCCAATCAGAGGGCTCGAGCTTCATCTCGCTCCTGCCCCTCCCGCCCACACGCTCATCCTCTGCTCCAATAAATGGGTCTGAAAAGGGGGCGTGAGTTACGAGGCATGCTGGGAATTGTAGTTTTCTAGACACACGGGACCAGCAGCCGCAGACGCCTGAGTGCCGCCTGTTCCCCCGCCTTCATTTCCCATCGTGCTGAGGCGGGTGGCATGGCGGAGAAGGATGACACCGGAGTTTGACGAAGAGGTGGTTTTTGAGGTAAGGGGAAAATGGCGGTGGGTGTGGATTGCCTTTGTTTGAGAAGGATGAGGGGGAAGGCGAAGGTGCCGATCCCGGGGCGAAGGATTGGGTGACGCTCTTGCCAGCCTAAGTCACCGAATCTCGGCGATTGCTGGGCCTAGTGTTGGCTGCAGCCTGACAGGTGTAGCCCGAGACGCCCTCACCGCAGCCGGCCTCAGCCTCCGCCTGGCTCAGAATTCCCAGCCAGGCCGGCGGACTAGAGCCCTGCCCGTTTCTTCCCCGGGGACTGACACGCCTGGCTGGGGCGGGGCCCAGTCGTGCATTTTTGGACACTCACCAATACAGCTTAGCCTCTCCCTTTTTCGTTCTTGATTTTTTGGATCATTATCTACAAGTGCCTCAGGTCCCTGTTCCTGGTCGAGGCGTGGCCCTTGGAAAAGAACGCAGCAGGTGCCAGTTTTCTAACACGGTTTAAAATATGTGGGGGACCTACTGTGAGTGATTGGGGTCGGGGCATCTCAGCATCTAGGTTCAATTCTTTTGTCCTTGGCTGTTATGCTAAGTGTAGCTAGTTTGACTCAAGGCTCCTGGTGTGAGTGCTTTTGTGTGGGACTATTTTAAGACGTTCTCTGCCATCTTGAATGAAAAAAAATAGGCGAGTGTTTTTGTTGCCATTTATCTATCAGACACAGGTGAAAACTCACTACCCCTATATCCATGTGTTGCGTATGTATATGTTTTACATTCACACATCTAACTATATTTTAAGAAAAATTTAAACGATGTGGCCCATTCCGTACAATGGGAGAGCTACGCACTAAACAGTAAAGAATGATAAATGTTGAAATATGTACAAGCTGTCATTGGAGGATTGATTTGGAAACTGCCGTCTGTTGTTAGCTTCCGAGAAGCTATGCCCAGTAAATGATATCCGAGGTGAATCTTGAATTATGAATCGGATTGAAAGAAGGGAGAAAATGCATTACAGGGAGAAAGAACTGAGCATGCCAACATTAGGAAGTGTGAAAGTACCTGGTGTCGAGTTTTCAGGGGTTTCAGTGCGGGAGGGTCGCTATATAAAGTGGTGTGATGTGGCTAGAATGTAGAAGTCGTTGAAGGTAGGGCTGTTTTACCAAAATGAAGAGTCTGGATTCGAGGAGCTCACTCAAAGGGAAGACAAACGCCTGCATTTTGGAAATGAGGCAAGAAATAATGGAATATTGTAATGGCTTGGACACATACTTATAAGGTAAAATCAAAGAGACAGATAACAGATTGAATTTGGGAGCTAAAGAAGAGAGAAAAATCTGGATGGCTTAGATTTCTAGAGTAAGGAAACTGGGTGGATGTTATTTTTTTCCCCTATAATTTATTGGATTTCTGAATATAGTAGTCATAAATGCTCAAAGAACACTTAACTATAGAAAATAAGCTACAAAATTAAAATCATTCTTTATCTCCTACCATCCAAAGATGGCCACTAACATTATAGCCTGTGTTCTTACAGACTTTTCTATGCAAATACATGTCTGTGTGTGATATTTTTAATACAAAAGAGATCATACCACATAGAATTTTGTATGTATTTTGCCCTTAAATTTATCGTGAGTCTTTTCCTATTCATTTCCCTTTGAAAACATTATTAATAACATTATATTCCACCATGTATCATAATATAACTATTTTCCCAGTATGGAATGATTGTATTGTTTCAAGATACTGTTGTAATCAACATGACATGAGTCCATCTTTAATTGCAACTCTGAATTTTCCTTAGACTAATTTCTAGAAGGGACACTAGTGAGTGAAAGGATGAATATGTTTTTAAGACTTATGCAGAAAGGTATACCAATTCATATTTTCATTAGGAATAAGAGTATTAGTTTTACAACATCCTCAGCAACAGCCTTATTAGTTTCCTTTAGTCTTTGCAAATTTGCTAGGGGGAAAAAAAATACATTCCATTGTTCTAGTTTACATTTTGTGCATTTATTGGAGCAATTTTTATTTCTTTGCATGAACATTTCTTTTCATAGTTTTTACCCATTTTTCTATTAGATGCTAGCTTCTTAAAAATTGCATGATTTCTTCATGTTATTTGTAGATTTGATTTATTTGCTTTGTGTCATGTGCATTCATTTTATTTCAGCAGAATATTCTAAGGGCACAAATGATAAATATGCAGACTGATGAATTTTCACATGTGAACACACCCATGTAACAAGCATCCAGATCGAGAAGTGGAGCATCACCAGTACACCAGAAGCTGTCTCTTGCCCTCTTTCAGTCATTTCTCCCCACTCCAAGGATAACCACTATTCAGACTTATAACTAACTTATATTAGTTTTGTCTGTTTTTATTTATTTTTTATTTTTATTTTTTTTTAAGATTTTTTATTGGGGAGTTGGGGGATGGGAACAGCGCTGGGGAATTGGGGGAAGGGGAACAGACAAGTTACTCTCCTTTTGTTCTTCAGTCTAGTTGTGGAGGACGTTGCTTCACTGGCCCAAGTTGGCACCATCATTGCGCTCTTCCCAGGCGAGGCAGATCAGTCGCTGGCTTCTCCACGGCTGCTCACACTGGCTGCTGGCTAAACATGGTAGCCCATGGCAACCCACTGCCACAGAGGCTGCAGCCTACGCCATCGCCGGCGACTCACAGCAGCCCAGCTCCAGGTTGAGCTGTTGTTCAGCATCTTAGCTGTAGAGGGCAGTGTCACTGGCCCTCATATGTGGGATCCGAACCGGGGCCCTCTGGCGTCCCAAGCCAGTTCTTAACCAACGCGCCCCTCAGCCGGCCCTTGTCTTTTTATATTGTACACACTGTGCAATTCCATTTGCTTATGCTCTTTTTTTGCTCTCTGGTTTTGTTAGATTCATTCATATTGTCATGTGAACATTTTTTTATATCTCCATAGTATTCCATGTGAACATATCACAATTTAAAAAATCAGTCCTGTTGATGGTCTTTGGGTAGTTTCCAGTTTGAGACTATTATGAATAGGGCTACTATAAACCTTTTAGTATTGTGTTTTGTTGAACATACTTCTATTGGGTATGTACTTAGAAGTAGAATTGCTGAGTCATAGGCAATGCATAGGTTCACCTTTTTTTTATTATTATTAAAGATTTTATTGGGGAATCGGGGAAGGGGGACAGACAAGTTGCTGTCCTTTTGTTCTTCAGTCTATTTGTGGAGGACGTTGCTTTGCTGGCCCATGTTGGTATTATGATCGTTGCGCTCTTCCCAGGTGAAGCAGTCGCTCATCAGCCATTGGATGGCCACTCAGGGCGGCTCACGCTGGCTGCTGGCCACTCACGGTAGCTCCCAGCAGTCCACTGCAGCAGGGGCTGCAGCCTACGGTGTTGCCGGGGACTCACAACAGCCCAGCTCCAGGTTGAGCTGTTGTTCACCATCTTAGCTGTAAAGGGTGCAGCGTCACTGGCCCTCTATGTGGGATCTGAACCCGGGCCCTGCTGTTCAGAGCTGGCATCCCAAGCCAACTCCTAACCAACGCGCCACTCGGCTGGCCCCAGATTTACCTTTTGTAGATATTGCCAAGTGTTATTCCAACATGGTTGTACCAATTTATACTCCTGCCAGCAGGGTTTGTGAAGTCCAGTTGCTGTCTACCTTCACCAATATTTGCTAATTTTAGTCTTTCTTTTTATCATTTTGGTGGGTGTGTACTGGTATCTCCTCTTGACTTTAATTTGCATTTCCCTGGTAAGGAAATTGAGTCCTATTTGTTTATAAACCTATGTATCCACTTTTGTAAATCCAATAATTCAAGTTTTTTGACATGCTTTTCTATTGGGTTATCTCTTTCTCTTACCGATTTGAAGGAGTTTCTTACATATGCTGGATACAAGTCCTTTGTTGGATGTATGTACTTCAAATACCTTGTAGAAAGAGATGGGAAGTTAGTTGCCTGACTCGTTTAGAAGGCAAGCAATAAAAACGTTCATGGGTTGGAAGATTCACTATTGTAAAGATGTCAGGTCTCCCCAAATTAACCTATGGATTCAAAGCAATCCCCGTCAAAATCTCAGGAGGTATTTTTTTAACTGAAATTGACAAGCGGATTCTAAAATTCATTCAGAAATACAACCAACCAAGAATAACCAAAGCAGTCTTAAAGAAAAATATAGCTGGAGGGTTTTATCCTATCAGATACTAAGACCTATTATAAAGTTACAGTAATTAAAATAATGCGGTATTGGCACAAGAATGGTCAAAATGACCAATGGAGAAAGACAGCATCCAGAAACAGAGCCACACATACAAGGTATCCTGATTTATGACAAAGGCAACATTGTAGTTCAGTAGAGAAAAGAGGGGTCTGTTCAGTAAATGCCAGGTTAACTGGACATCCTTATGGGGGAAAATACGTATGTTGACTTTAACTTGATACCATACAAAAATCAGTTTCAGATGGATGGGAGATCCAAATACAAAAGGTAAAATAAATCTTTTAGAGAAAATATTTTTGTGCCCTTGGACTAGGCAAGTATTTCTTTAAAATCCCTAACCATAAAAGAAAAGGGTTTAATTGTATTATCATAAAGGTAAGAGGTCCTGTTCTTTGAAAGACGCTATTAACAGTTTCTTTGGTGGCCAGTTAGAGCGCAGGCTCATAACACCAAGGTTGCTGGTTCGATTCCCACATGGGCCAGTGAGCTGTGCCCTCCACAACTAGATTGAAAACAGCGCCTTGACTTGGAGTTGATGGGTCCTGGAAAAACATGCTGTTCCCCAATAAAGTTTAAAAAAAAATAAAGAGAGATTCTCTCTGAAGACAAACCAGTGTGGTCAGACATCACTTGGTAGAAGATGAGGAACCCAGTACTGAGGGTGATTAGATATGGAGGATGGGAGACTTGCTAAAATGACTTAGCAGGGTTCTTAATACTAGATTTTGCAAGAAAGTGCATAGATGGGCTTCGGAGATGGTTCTGGAGTCGGACTAAAGTTTAGTCAAGCAAAGAATCTTTGTCAGTACCCAGGGAAAAATTCT